AGAAAAATGTCCATGATCAATAAATAAATTAGCATAGATAACCTATTCCTACCATACATGCATAAATACACCATGTAAGAACAATTACCATGATAAGTTATTTTTAAATATAAATAGCTTTCATACCAGTTTAAAGCTACGCCAGCACTCATCATCGGGCTTATAGAACATGTACGTTTTGAGTAGTTTGAACTCGATACAACCGTATTTGATCAGGGCGATTTGGTCGTTGAGGCATAAGCTTTTGAATGCTTTTAAACATTGAATTTTATTCACGTTTTCGGTTAAATCTTTATCAAATTCTTTGGCCGATCTCTCCATTATGTAATCCGCAGACCAATCCAATTGGCAGTTAAACACATGACCGCTCGGCTCATCATATGTGGGATCAATGTTATGGTAATTGTTTAGATATGAGAGTCCATAGAGTTCTTCGAGACGTTTTTGTTCAAAATCATTGAAACAATTGATTTGAATTAATTTATTGATAGTGTTATTAGTGCTGAATATGTCGATTACCATCGAGTTATTGTTATTACCGATACAAATGTCTTGTATTTGGTTTGTGATAGTATTGTCGGTCAAAGTGTTTTGTGGTACAAACAAACCCTCATGTGTTTCATTCACATCTACGACAATATTGTTTGGATCAATGTTTGCCATTTGTGTAATACATTCACTGATCTCATCATCTCTTATGGTATTATCCACTGTATTATCATTTGAATAGTCAATTGTCGTGGCATTTGACACATCAGATAAAGTGCTTGTAATTAAATTATCACTATTTATGTCTTTCACACCATTTGCCCTCAACTTCCTATTTATCTCGATTTGATGTCTTCGCGATTCCCTCTCCTCTTCATTAAGAATGCATTCCTTTATAACAAATAAATTTTTAATTAAAATAATATAAAAATAAGTTAATAAAATCAATTTATAATCACTTTTTTCATTCCTCTGGTGAAACACTTTTTAAGTCGACATTTTTTGCATAATTTGCGGCACTTTTGGTCTACAATACAATCGCCGCTTAATTTACACCCAAGTTTCTGTTATATTAATTTTATTCATAATATAATAAAACTTTTAGTTAAAACAATTATACCTCATATTTAAAAGCGTTTCTCCTAAAGAATGCTTTACATGATTGACAAGTAATTGCACCAAAATTATTACCTTGATTAAGAAATATTATATAATATAATTAGTTATTAATCCATGGTAAATTTACAAAATTACTTAATTACCATTTGCATTTTCGCCACAGATTTCACATATTTTCGGTACTTTTACCTTAATTTTCCGGTGATTAGGCATTATTTATATACCGTATTAAATATATTCTGCAGAATATAAATCGATAAATACAATTACAAATAAACGGTATAATAAATCTATCTATTTTGTATTCAATTACTTAAAATATAATGAAGGTAATACTGATAAATGCAATATTTAACCATATTTAACACCATATAGTTGTACAATAGTTACCAACAACTATGTCAAGTGTTATTATCTCCAGGTTCAGTTATCTCTCAAACGAACCTTATCATTTTATAAATAAATTATTATAATGATTACAACATATTATTAGAAATAAATATAACTTAAACTTGCAAATAATTAGCAAAACTTTAATTTCTTATAATTAAAAAGTAATAATAACTATACAATTAATAATATCTACCTAATAATGAACTTCCAGGTGCTGTAGACTCTGTACTAATGTTTTTGTTGATTGACTGTGAGTTTAGGCGTGATTTTGGGTCTATTTTATCGCAAATCTTCATTAGAAATAAAAATATTTCATTAATTAAATAATATTTGTGTTAATTATTATGAAAATTATTATTACTTGTAAACTTTTAGCACTAAATTGTATTTACAGTTAAATGTCATGTAATAGTGTTTACGTAATTCACAAACAATCCCTTCATTTCCCGCATGTTTTCAGTTTTTGTTGACATTTTTGTGATTCAATTGTTGTTTAGTTTTGCACTTAATTTGTATTCAAATTAATTGTGAATTAGTTTTAAACGATGTTTTTTAATATTTTGAAAAATATTGTAATGTAATAAAATTAAATTATA